AAGAAAGAAAGAAAGAAAGAAAGAAAGAAAGAAAGAAAGAAAGAAAGAAAGGAAGGAAGGAAGGAAGGAAGAAAGGAACGAAGGAAGAAAGGAAGGAAGAAAGGAAGGCAGGAATGAAGGGAAAGAAAAGAAGGAAGGGAAGGAGGGAAAGGAGGAAGGAAAGAGGAGGGAGGGACAAATAGAGAGACAGATCAATAGAACAGATGAGACAAAGGAGAATGAGAAACAGTGACTCAATAATTCAGCGTTCGATAAACCAGAAACCGTAAGTTATTTAGAAAAGAACTCCCTCCTTGATGAAAAACAAACAAACAAACAACAAAAAAACAACTTTCTGGGAAAACCAAAAAGCAGTATGGTAGAAATTAAGCTTATATCAATACTTTATACCATATTTCACAATATATTCCAAAAAGATGTGATCTTAAAATCAAAGATTATACCATTAAAAAAAAAAAGAAAGAGACCATATACCTTTCATGGCAACAGGTAGGAGACGTATTCATAACCAAACAAGGGAAAGAAGCAATTCTAAAAGATAATATATATATAATATTTATGGGGAAAAATCTTTGTATCAAATTTCTCTGATAATGGTTGAGTATTTAAGATATACGAATAACTTAAAGAGAAGGAAGGAAGAAAGAAGAAAGAGAAAATACACAACCAAAAGTAATTCCTGCATAGAGAAGTGGCCAAAGGCAATGAATACCCATTTCTCAAAAGAAGAATGGCAAACCATTGAGAGGAAATGAAAGAGGCAGCAGCCCCAAAGGGAGGGCACTGAGGAAGGGGAAGGAAGGGAGAGGACAGGATTGGCTGCGCCGGGAAAGAAGCTCAGGGCTGGAGGCAGAGGACCTCGGGGACAGCCAGGGAAAAGGCATACGGTGGGTAGACGCGTCATTGGATCACGGAAGCCCCACTGTCATCACCACCACCTCCACGTCAGCCCCATGTGCATTCTTTTCCCCTCCTGCTCAACTGGACTTAGAAAATCCTGCTTCTTGTCCCACTGTCTCCTCGTGCACTCAGAGCTGGGTGGAGAACCTGGCTCGCGCCATTTGCCCTGGCAGGCAAAATTCCTAGTGACCGCGCTGTTTGGGGCTCGACCGGCTTGACTCTGTACAGACAGGAACAATTCGAAAATGGAGCAATTCCCTGTTAATAACTTACAACGTAACAACTGCCTTTTCCCCTCCACCTGCCCGCCACAGAATGTCAGCCATGGCTGTGATGAGGCAATTCGTCCGGTAGGCGTCTGAAGGCTGGAGCTCCCTAAGAAGAGAAAAGAAAAGCACATACCTTTGTGCATAGGTTGAACACATTCTGAAACACATGAAAAGGCTTAAAAATGGAAAAAATGCTGACAAATGCTGAAACTTCCTCCGTCACAAGGCTCTGAGTCCAACTCATTGTCCATCAAAGGTTATGGCGGTATTAGGGTAATGAGAAACCACCAGAGGTAAGTCAGCATGAAGAAACTCACGCACATGGGAACAGCAAGCACAGCTGGGAAGCTAGATTTCTTTCGGACCCTGACGTAATGGGGCAACTTTCATTCGGACTGCTTCATTACTCATCATTGCCACACGGGATACGGCGCCTCTGTAGGCACAGGCATACGTGAAGAACCCCTCATCCAAAAAGGGAAGGGACAGCTTGCTACTGGAAGAGAGCGTTACTTCTCGATGACATGAGAAATCTTGTTGGCTTTTCTAGAGTGGTCCATCCAACAGCGCCCTGGGGGCTACCATTATTTCTTTGTTTCTCTCACATGATGTTAAAAATAATATGCTGTTATCTGTAATGGTGATAAGCCAGAAGCCTTCCCAGTACAGTCAGGGATGAAGCAAGGATGCCCGTTATCATCACTGTCTTTCAATACTGTACTAGGAAGGTAGTTATAGCAATAAGAGAATAAGAATAAATTAAAGGAATTACAAGAGGCAACGAGGAAACAAAACTCTCTCTCTTTGCAGATGATATGATGGTACACTTAGAGAATCAACTGAAAAATTAGCTGCAATAATTAACAGCGTTAGCAAAGCTGCAGGATACAAATAAACACACATAAACCATCAGCATTTCTATATATCAACAACAAAATTCCAGCAGCAAGAAATAGAAAGAGAAATTAAATTCCCTTTATAAAGCAACTGCAGACAATACAAAATACGTAGGAGGCTACCAGCCAAGACAAACCTCGGAAGTATGTGAACACAATTACAAAACACTTTTTATAGAAATAAAGTCTGCTCTAAACAACCGGAAAAAATATTAGTTGCTCATGGGTAGGGCCAATATAATAAAAATGACAATTCTATCTAAATTAATCTACTTATTCAGTGCCATACCAACCAAACTACCAAAATTATTTTGTAGAGCTAGAAAAAATAGTAACAAAATTCTTCTGGAAGACCAAGAGGTCAAGGATATCAAAAATGTGAAAAAAATGTGAAGGAAGGTGGCCTAGCTATACCAGATCTCAAGCTGTATTAGAAAGTGGTCATTATCAAAACAATCTGGTACTGGTAAAGAAACAAAGTGGTGGAACGGTGGAATAGATTAGGTACGCAATACATTGTAGTAAATGACCAGAGTAATCTTGAGTTTGGTAAACCCAAAGAGCCAAGCTTTTGAGACAAAAGCTCATTATTTGACAAAAACTGCTGGGAAAACTGGAAACCAGTATGGCAGAAACTAGGCACAGACCAACATCGCACACTGTACATGAAGATAAGGTCAAAATGGGTACATGATTTAGACATAAAGGGTGATACCATAAGCAAATAAGGAGAGTATGGAATAGTTTACCTCTCAGATCCACGGAGAAGGGAAGAATTTAGGACCAAAAAAGATATAGAGAGCATTACAAAATGGAAAATGGAAAATTTTGATGAGATAAAATTTAAGTTTTTGTACAAACAAAACCAATGCAACCAGATCAGAAGGAAAGCAGAAAACTGTGGAGAAATTTCACAGCAGGTATCTCGGAAAAAGGTCTAATTTCTCAAATATATAAAGAACTGAGTCAAATTCATAAGAATACAAGTCATTCCCCAAATGACAAATGGTCAAAGGATATGAACAGGCAGCTTTCAGATAAAGAAATTAAAGCTATCTATAGTCATATGAAAAAATGCTCTAAATCATTATTTATTGGAGAAATGCAAATTAAAACAACCCCAAGGTACCACCTCACACCTATCAGATTTTGGTTAATATAACAAAAAAGGAAAATAATAAATGTTGGAGGTGGAGATGTGGGAAAACTGGGACACTAATGCCCTGTTGGTGGAGTTGTGAATTGATCTAATCATTCGGATCTATGCCCAGAAGGCTATAAAACTGTGCATACCTTTGACCCAGCAATACCACTGCTAGGTCTACATCCCAAAGAGATTTTTATAAAAAAGGGGAAAGAACCTATTTGTACAAAAATATTTATAGATGCTCTTTTTTGTGCTGCCAAGAACTGGAAATGGAGGGGATGCCCATCAACTGGGGAATGGCTGAACAAGTGGTATGTGATAGTGACTGAAGACTATCGTGCTATAAGAAATGACAAGCAGCGTGATTTCAGAAAAACCTAGAAAGACTTAAATAAACTGACATAAAGTGAAGTGAGCTGAGCCAGGACAACATTGTACACAGTTAACAGCAGTACTGTTTGATGAAGAACTGTGAATAACTTAGCCATTCTCAGCAATACAATGATTGAAAATAATCCCAAAGGACTCATGATAAAAAATTCCTCCAGAAAAAAACTGATGTTGTCTGAATACAAACTGAAGTATACTATTTTTCACTTTCTTTCTTTTTCTTTATTCGAGTCTTCTTGCACAAAGTGACTAATGTGGGGGGGGGCAGTTAGGTGGTGCAGTGGATAGAGCTCTGGCCTTGAAGTCAGGAGGACCCGAGTTCAAATCTGGCCTCAGACATTTGACACTTACTAGCTGTGTGACCCTGGGCAAGTCACTTAACCCTGACTGCCTTTCCAAAAAGCAAAAAAAAAAAAAAATGACTAATATGGAAATGTTTTGCATGATTGCACATGTATAACCTATATCTGACTGCTTACTGTCTCAGGAAGCGGGGAGGAAAGGGAGAGATAGAATTTGGAACTGAAAACTTAAAAAAAAACAATGAATGTTAAAAATTGTTTTTACATGTAATTGGGGAAAAATGAAATATATTAAAATTAACAACAATAATACTGTGCTGTCAGGGAGTTCATTCTGAGCTAAAAGCACAATAAGCTTGTGAAACATTGCAAGCAAATTATTCTTTTACATTTTAAAATTTTGAACTAAGCCTCAAAGGGTCTAGATGCAGGTAAAGGGAAAAGTCTCAGCTAAAGCCCCGACTACGCAAAGAAGCAGAGATTGGGCCTTTGCCTTTGACTTCAGCCCAGTCCTCCTTCATCTTCCTGCCTTCCTGCCTTCTCTCTGTGATTCTCTCCACTTCACCTCATCTCTATCCTGCTTGTGGATAGTTACACGCGTGCTGTCTCCCCCATCAGGCTATGAGCTTCTTGTGAGCAGGGCTGTACTCTTTGCCTTCCCAGGCCTCAGCCCAATGCCCGGCACACAGTAAGCACTTAATAAATGCTTGTTGACTTGATCTGACCTGATGTAATTTAGGACAAGTTCCCGAAGCCAGATTATCGCCTGCAGAGACTACCTAAGAAGCCTCCTGCCAGACAGGTGGGATGTGTGATCTCCTCTCTCCTGTCTCCACACACGGGGATCCACACAATCCACATGTCCGTTTCAGAAGGTTAACTTGGTAGGGTAAGGTAGAAAGAGGCTAAGGAAGGAGCTTGCTACCACAAAAGTGCTGCTATCTATACACACAATGGGAGGTGCGACCTTTCTGTTATCCCTAACCTAACAGCGTAAATGCTACGTCACAGAGCATTGTCAGATTTCTGCCATTTTTTTGGCATCATCCCGAGCCACTTTCCAGAACCAGTTGGGCCAATGCACCACCCAACGTCTGTCCCCGCCTTCCAGGGATGAAGCCGCGCAGGGGCGCTCTGTGGCCACTGCTTCCTCTTCTATGTGTCTGCTCACCCTCCCTCAAAGAAGGCATTTCAGAACTCTGTCACTCGTGCGAGTCGAGCTCAGGCCTGCTGCCTGAGCAAATGCACCTGCTGATCCATTCTCTTCCCCGGGATGTGTGAATCGAGGGCAGATATACGCTCCTACCCTCTCCCTTACCTGCCTCGGTTTCACCTAGGGCTTAAGATTTTGTTCCATTCTTTTCAGCCCAAAAGTCACTCTGCATGGTAGAGGAAACAGAACCAGTTGAGGAGTGCTCTCTCTTTCATCACCTGCTATCCCACTGCCCCATGCACCCCTAATGCACTGGTGCCATCCCTTTTTTGATCATTCTCAACAGAGCTAAGAGACAGCCTGCCAGACAGACAGACAAAGAGAAACCCCGCCCTTTCGGTTACCCCAGCCTTCATCATGATCTTTAGTTTACTGAGAGCTTACCTTATTTCCTTATATCTGCAGATGTCCCCAAAGCCCAACCCTGGGCAAGTCATTCCCCTGCTCAGGAAACTTCAGTGGCTCCTTCTTGCCCCAGGGTGAAGACACAAACCCTTCCATGTGGCATCTAAAGTCCTCACCACCTGGCACGAGCCACGGCTTTCAGGCAGATTACACGCCACCCCCTTCCCACTCTCAATGCTCTGGACAAACCTGGCTGTTACCGGTCTCCGTCAGCGCCCTCTATCCTTTCCACAGGCTCTCCCCCACGCTGTCGAATGTTCTGTCTCTTCCTCTACTTCTCAAGCTTCAAGGCCCGGCTCCAGAGCCCCCTTTCAAGGGGCTGAGGTGAGGCAGGGGCAGAGGCCTTCTGTGATTCCCTTAGTCAACAGCACCTCCTCCCAGTCCCGGTAAAAATCACCAGGTATTGTTTCTATATGTGGTACTGAACTACCAGCACTCTATTCCCCGGTGGAAGCTCCTTGGGGGCGCAGACTGGCTCACTTGGCCCCTCCATGCTTGGTACACCATTCTAGGGGGTGCTTAATAAATGCACGCTGGCATGACCTGACCTAGTAAGAGCTAAACAGATAAATGCAAACAAATTGGGGTATATGTTCATGATGGAATATTACTCTTCTATAAGAAATGGTGAGCTCAATGACTTCAGAAAAGCACGGAGAGATGGCCACAGAATCACGACGAGCAAAATGAGCAGAACCAAGAACACTGACAGCAGTATTGTTCTAAGAATAACGTTAAGCAACCAAGTCATTC